CACTGCACTAAAACAAATAACCAAATTAGGCTTTGACAGCCATATAGATAGTTTTGAGATTGCATTATATGACAAAAAAGAATTCCTTAATATTTGTCAAAGATTAGCAAATGAAATGTATAGTTCATTCAACAGTAAAGTCAGACCTAATTGAAAGATTAGGAAACAGCAGTAATCTGCTTGTTTTGAAACAGTAAGAAATCAGCTTCCTAAAATTTTATCGATAATGCTTGGGGTATAAAATTTATCAGCTTTTAGGTGATTTTATATAAAGAAAGCAACTGTTAATAGAGTTCAGAGTGAGAGGTGCCCATGGATGGGTTCCTAACCAAAGTGCTGTCATAAGATGAGCTCAAGTCGTGTAACTCAGTTTCAAAGACCATTTCTGACATCTTCCCCATATAGTACTAAAACAAAGGCATTACTGGAAGCTAAGTCACAGGCCTTGTTTAGGCCAGATCATCAGACAATTGATAAAGTAGCGAGGCAGGCAAACAGTCTCCATAGATGTTATGAAATAGCAGCTTCCTCACATGGAGCAAGATGACAGTCACATGGATTTTGACAGTTTTCTGGGCTAATATCAATATCTGGGAATACTGAGTCCTAAAACGCCAAAGCTATCGGATTAGAATGGAATTAAGATGTCTGTAAAAGAAAACGTGCTGAATATATGGGGTTTTTTTTTAAAACTAATTTTACATAAGTAATACATAAATGCAAAACAAATACATAATGCAAAAAATTTTAACGTTACAAATAAGAGTGAAGTGTCTGTTGACCAAATCTCCAAATCTAATACCTTTTTTAATGGTAACCACCATTATCAGTCTGAAGTGTATCTTTCCTGTTTTTTTCTATGCAATTATATGCATATATTTACCATTAGAAAATATATTTTATGTTGCTGTTTTTAAATATTTAAGATGTATGTACCTATTATTCTGCAATTTGCTTTAGTCACTTAAGACTCTCTTGCTAACCTTTTCATGTCAGTAAACACATTTACTGAAGGCTTATGTACCAGTCATTATTCTAAACACTTGTATATCTTTTAATGCATTTAGTCCTCATAAAAATGCAGTTGTTATTATGTTACGTTATTATCGTGCCCATTCTGCCATTGAGGATTTTGAGGGACAGTGTTTAGGCAAATTGCCCGATTTAGTGGCAGAGCCACTACTCTGGATTCAGGGAAGACCAACCCCAGGTCTGCTCCCATGTTAACCATTTTACACTGCCCCGTGAGCCATGTGACCTGCCTCCGAATGCCGTACGTATGAACCCAAAAAGCCCCATGAGCCCGTCTTTTATGAACTTGCAGTGACTGTGAATGATATGCAGATAGCATTCAAGTTTTAAAATGTCACCAAGTGTCTCATTATGCTCAGCATTTCAGTTGATAATAGCACAAGCCAGGCAGTGTGATCTGTATAAGGTCTGACTGTTTTTGAGGAGAATAATGCACATAAGAATGCGGAGCAAACCCCATTGTTATGCTGTTCCATTCCCCTGCTTCCCTTGCCGCCTATATCTGATCCGTGGGCAGCATTCCATTTACGTCAAAAATAACGTCAATCTAGTGAAAAAACTGAATGACTCACAGCATTACTTTAGGGAACTGATCTCTGTAATATGATATATAATATCCTAATTTCACAGAACCTTTTTTCATAACAACTGTTCAAATCGTATTCGAATCCATTAAATTCTTTTAAAGAATCCAATTCGAAGCAATATTGAAACTATTCTTAAGATAAAAGTATATTGAAGAGGAGTCCCACCCACTCAAAATTGCTCTGTCATTAGCTACTTTATATCTTTTCTGTATTTGTCTCTCTGTATTTATTGATTCACTTGAGTCTGCTCTTCTTTTGTATTTCTGGCTGAATTTGAGTCAGGGATAGGCTATTTCAGAGACTGGAGGGTCTGAAAGAAAGAATAGAGAAGAAAGGAGAAAGGGAAAGGAAATTTTCTTCTGATTATTATGGACAACAGAGCAAGATACAATGGAGAGAAGAGGTAGGAGAAGAACCCAGAGTCTCGAGTTTATAAAAGCAGTGCTATGCTATTGATGATCTCTGAAGAGAATGAATGACAGTGAGAGAACACGGCCACCTACGCCCTTACATTTAGTAGCACATAACTTAGAAACGTCGAGCCAGTTGGAGTTCTCCTGCCACATCACCATCCACAAAATGACAGCTAAATTTTTTTATGTAAGAATTTTATTTCTTGGATAAATATAAAACCAAGTGAAATCCCTCAGTTTTTTCTCCCCCCTCTGGTGCTATATGCTTGTGGGCATTTTGCAAAGATGGCCCTTGACGTGTATTTTTGGTTGGAACAAAAAGTAAGACTGAAAAAAGAGGATTTAAAGAAGGCAAATTACTTGTGAAGTTTACTTTCAGACTTGTGAGTGACCTTCTAGAAGGAGGATAGGTTTCTGAGGACTGAGCTCCCTCCACTGTCTTCCACAGATTAACTGTGTGATACAGTTAGTAGACAAGTTGGTAACTTTTGAGCCTTGGTTTTCCTATTTAAGGAAGAAAGCAGGCTAGGATCCCTACAGTTCTCTTGAATTATAATATCCTGATTCTTATATGACATGATAGAAAAAGATAGCTTCCAGTAGTCAGACAGGTTAGTCTTCTGGTTACCCAGCAGCATAAGTCTGGTACACATTTTCCTCCTGTTTCATACATCGCCTCTAATACTCCAAAGGGAGATGTTACTTGTAGTGTCTCCCGGGGCACTCTCCAACGTCTTTCTGACGAAGTGAAAGTTCTCAGCTACATACCATTTTTTCCAGTTTTTACTTAAAATTTTTTTCCTCAGGATAGAATATTGATAACTGATTTGTAATCCATGGGTCACTACTGTAAAGTAGCCCTGAGGTCTTTGTTTTCAGACACTCAGAAATTGTGAATTGGATGTGTTGTTGGCCACTTGGATAAAGGATTTAAGGCACTGCTTTTCTAGTTTTGGCTAACTTCACCTTCAATGTGACTACTTCAGTGGTTTTCTTCTAGTCGGTGCTAACTGATATTAAAACAAATATACCAGATTGCCATCTTGGGGCACCGGTACCAGACAAATTACTGAATAGTGATGGAGCCAGAAGTCCCCGAATAAATTCTCTATACTCTAAACACTGCTAATAAGTCGTTCTCTGCTTCCTTCACTTTATCTGTTCAGTACCTAGAGATTGAGTAACTACTGCAATCCTGGATTTTGAGTGCTATACTGGGTCTGCCAGGACGAGGATTCTATTGCAAAAATAGCCATATTTACTAAAATAGAATGAGCTTCCTCCTTAGGTCTTTTTGTCACCAAGTAATCAAAGTAATAACCAATAAAGCTTTGGTTATTAAATCAACCAAACAAGAAATCACCTGAGAAATTATTTTTCTGTAGTCTTCCCTTTCATGCTCTCTTAACACGTGCAGAAGATTAATGATAGTATTTATATGTAGCCTGTTGAAGTGAATTTCCTAGACTAATCACACCCTATGTGATTTTACAACTGAAAACACTGAACTCTAATGGCATTAAAATCTTATTCTAGTAACTTGTTTAACACCAGCTACATTGGAAATGCACAGAATAGTAGCCTGGGAATCAAAAAAAAGAAAAAAAAAAACTAGAATAATCATGGAGGCTCATCAACTAGCTACGGAGATGAGGGCAAGTTACTCAAGTTATCTGAGCTTTAGGAGAAGAAATAGGATACTTGTCCCTAGGAGCTGTGGTGAGGTACACATGAGATGGTCTATTTGACAGTGCTTTGTGTTATAGAATGCACAGTCCAAATATGAAATAGAAAAGCTTTGTAAAGTACGCATGTATGCAGTATATCTAATTATATTGTTGCTTTCATGTATTTGGTGTTTCTAGATTTTGTATGTAAACAAGAGCTTATAAGGTTATTCCCAATTATCACAATTAATGAACTCTTAATGGGTAGCCTCAAGTTTAGATTTTATTGGAAGAAGGATATTAAAGTGATCAAGGAGATTATTTTTTCTCCATTGACATGTAAAAAACAGACAACTAATTAGAAAATATTTAGCTATCCTTTATATACACCTGAATGGTCTGGCTTTTCTTAATATTCACTTTTCTTTCAAATATAAGAAATGAAAAATCAAAACCTTCTATAAATATTGTCATTCAATGAATATATCTTCTAGGGAAAAATATGTTTATTTGTTAGACCCGTATGCCAGGTGCTAAATTCCTTAAGTAAGAGATGTACAACCTGAGGTGTTTCTTTGTTTTGGTTTTATAATAAATATATTTAGAACATATCTTAATACTGTGAAAAGGAATTTCCTGGGGGAATGCTACTGTAAGAAATTGTTTTATTCTAGTAATATCAATATGTATTAATTTTTTTACAACTCAGTTATTTGCTTTATTTTTAATAATTTAAATCCAGGGGGACTTAATTATTAATTCCTCGAACATTATGACTATTTAATGACTGCCTCTCTGAAAAGGTAAAAGTAAAAAGATAAAGTCTTAGTAGTAAATTTTGCTATAGCAAATTTATGCTGATTGTCACCTTTTGTTGCCTATACTTGACCTGGCTCCTGATTTTTATAGGATTTTGTCTTTGATTTCTAAGATCTCCCAACTTTGATATGCTGTCCTTTTGTATATTTGTTCATCAAACACTCCATCACACATACATATAAATACAAATCAGTGCTTTTTATAATTATCTTGTAGGAAGTTTTTATGCTCTTTTGATGTTAGATTTTTGTTGTTGCCTTGGTCATGGTTAGTGTTGGTTTTTTCCCTTAGGCTTTGTATATTTCTCCCAGATCAGCCTGATTTATTTGTTATCTATGGGATATCAGGCCATCATGGTTGTCACCTGTTTCTTGCCTGGTGTTAACTGATAACCTTGAGATTTTGTCATCAATATCTGCAGTCTTTCTCAGTCCTTTTCCAAGGTTTCTCTCCCTGATTATTTTGCAACATTTTTTTCTTAGACTTGAATGAAGCAGTCCCAGAGACAGAGCGCCTGGATTCAAAAGCACTGAAAACTCGAGCCCAGCTCTCTGTGAAGAACAGACGCCAGAGGCCCTCTAGGACAAGACTCTATGACAGTGTCAGTTCAACAGATGGAGAGGACAGTCTAGAGCGGAAGGTGAGCACCTGGACTGTTTTCTGACTTACAGTGTTGCACTGTATTTTTGCTCCCACAGGTTATGGAAGATAATGATTTTTCTGCAACTAGATTCTATGCCCTAGTTGGAAACGGCTGGAATAGTTCACTTCTTTGCCTTCTAAGTTCTTACTTAACTTGATATATTGCTGTAATTCATATTCTTTCTGTGTACTCATTCAGTGAACTAACCAAGAGCATTATTCATATTGTCATATTTCATGATGGTGCTTTTGATATTCAGCTTGTTGGTTTTACTTAGTGGGAAATAATGAATGTACAAGTTATTGTTTCCTCTCTGTTTCGGTGTCTGTATTAGTTATAATGGTAATATGGTGAGTTGTTATGAACTATGCAGTCTCATCTGTAAACAAGCAAACAAAAATCGGTTTTCGTGGGGATTTACTAAAAAAAAGTTGGTCTTATTTCAAAGTAAGTATTACATAGAAGTGGTGCTCCATGGCATAACCCCCTTTATAATCTCTTATACCAACAGCCTTCAAACAGTTTCTATAACCACATGCATATTACCAAATCACTTCTGCCCAAGGGTTTGAGAATTTCTTCTCCAGAATCAGATTCTGGTGCTCCGTCCCTCACTTCAGTGGCTGGCAATGTGCCCTTCTCGGCTGACCATATAGCTGAATTTCAAGGACCACTGCACCCAGAAAGGGAACCTTCCTCCTCCATATGGGGTGACACTTCACTCTCCTCTCCTTCAAAATCTGATCACGATATGGAAGAATCTCCTTACCACCATCAAACCACCACCAAGAAAATATCACAAGGAAAAGGTACTGTTCATTCTTTCGTTATTTTTATTTTGTTTTATCTAACTTCACTAACACCTCAATTTGTGCAGTATACAAATGGCTTTTCTTCTCATAATCCTAAATCCTTTTTCTTCTCACAATTAGTAACTAATGTTGCTTTCCTTTTGTGTTACGGAATAAGGGAATACCCCCCCTTTCATTTATTTTATTTTTTATCTTTTCTTACCTGGTTAGTATTTTTATTCCTCCAGTTCTCCACAAGTGTACTATTGAAGGAAATTCTTCAGGAGGCTTTCTAGAGATTTTGTAGAATAGCAACCCAGAGTTTTAATAATCATTAACATAGTTATATAGAAATATATATAGGGAGATATAAAAATGAAAGTGATAATAGGTCTTAACCCATTAATTGGTTTTTATTTAAAAGAAATTTTCACCGTAATGATGTATATTGCAAAGAATGTGATAAAAAAGCTATGATAAAGATAATGCAGGGAGATTAATAAATTTTAAAATAGGCTCCTAAAGTTAACACCAGAATTGCATAGCAGTGTCAATAGCCTTTTCTCTTTTTAATAGTATGTTTTAATTTACAGAAGTAATAAATTCTTGTTTAAACAAGTTAAATAATGCAGAGATTTACAATAATAGATTCATTCTCTTCTACCACATCTGATGTGTTCCTTTAAAGTAACCAAGTAGGTTGGAGTCACAGTTGCCCCTTGAACAATGTGGTGGCTAGGAGCGCCAACTCCCGCATAGTCAAAATTTGTATATAACTTTTGACACCTCTAAAACTTAACTACAGTCATCCCTCAGTATCTGTGGGGGATTGGTTCCAGGATCCCCCCCACCCCCGCCATGGATATTAAAATTTATGGATGCTCAAGTCCTTTATGTCAAATGGCATAGAAGAAAGCGTACATTTGGTCTTCCACATCTGTGGATTCCCAATCACAGATCAAAAATACTATTTTTAATCCATGATGGTTGAATCTGTGGATATAAAACCTGAAGATACAGAGGGCTGACTGTTTATTTATTGGAAAAAATTTGCATGTAAATGGACCCATGCAAGTCAAAGCCATGATTTTCAAGGGTCAACTGTATTATCTTTCACATCTAAAATGTACATAAATATATATATACAGATACATGTGTGTGTAAACAAATAGTTTTTAGTGTTTGTATTTTTCGTCTTTTCAAAAATGAATTCTACAAATGACATTATTCTGCAGTTTTGTTTTACACATAATAATATTTTATGTACAATAAAATTGCCCCTCCGAGGTAATGTACAAAAATTTAAATAACAAGATAATTTTATGCTGTGAGCCTATAGTATAACTTAGACAAGTGTTACAGTACTGGTGGACATTTAAGCTGTATCGGGAGTTGGTGGGAGTGTTTTTTTGCTTGTTTGCTTACCACTGTGAAAAAAAGATATAACAAGCAACCCCGAGCTTTATATTCTTATATGCGAATGCTTTTATTTCTGCAGAATAAATTTTCAGATATTGAATTGGCAGAGTATATGGTACGCAGTGGAAAATGTGTGGTTTTAAATGTTCTTATTGTTAAAAACAAATATTGAAAATAAATATTCAAAATAATAAGAAAAGAACAGCCAAAAAACAAAATAGAAAGGAGAGGATGAAGAAGAGTTAAGCTAAATTCAATGTATTTTTAAGAAGAGATAAGCTAAATTCAATGTGTTTTTATTGAAATGGAAAGTCTAGTCCTAACTCCTCACCCCAGCCAAATGCAGTAAAAGTGTATAAATTAACCAGGCAAAAGTGAATATCCCCATGGAAGGATGGATTAAGAAATAAAAAAGAGGAGATAGAAACAAAAAAGGCACAGGATTAAAAATGAGAAAGGAGGTACAGAGATTAAAAGAATTATTTTTTTAAAAAGATAGTATGCCAACTCCATGGCAGTAGATTTGAAAAACTAGAGGAAATGGAGGATTTTCTATCAAAATATAAATTATGCAAATTGGTCTAAGAAGAAGAAAACTTGAATAAACCAATAATCACAAAAATATAAAATGTATTTTTATAGCTTTCATTTAGAAAGGTACCAGGCCCAGCTGGTTTTATAACTGAATTCTGCCTAACCTATAAGAAAATAGATAAGCTCTATTTTATATTAATTATTCCAGGTAGATGTTATTTTAGTAGCTAGAGTCTTAAAACTAGTAAAAATCACATGAAAGGAGAAAATCTTATGCATATAGATTCATTGAAAATACGATACTAGTACATGGAATCCAGGAGTGAAAATTAATTATATTCCAAAATCAGGTAGGATTGATTCTGGAAATAAAAGGATGGTTTAACATTAAAATAATCTAACAATATAAATCATCATATCAACACAGGAAATGTAAAGTGTTATAACATTAATACAAGTTGAAAATAAATTTGATACAATTTCCAGACATCTTCAGTAAAAAAAAGTAAAAGTGAAATTAGAAAAAAATTACCTTAATATAATTGTCCATTTGCCAAAAATCAACCACAAAACATCATACTGAATAGTGACTCTTAAGCCATTTGCACAAAAATTAGGGATAAGATGTAAAGACCAACTATCATCACTATTATTAACATTATTTTTGAGATTTCTAATTGCAGAAAATTAAATGATCAGTATAAATTTGTTACAGAAAAGACCAAATATCTTTATTTGAGGATTATGTGAATGTTCATCTATAAGATTAAGTAGTCAAATACGAAACAAATATGTAAAAATCAATACCTTGATGTGTATAAGGGTGAAGTGTCTGCAGCTTTGAAATACAGTAATAAATTAATGGATTAATGGATAAATAGAGAGGTGGCTATATGATAAAGCAAATATCCTAAAATGAAAATTATAGAATCTAAGTAGTAGATACATATTTGTTCACTGTAAAAATTTTTCTTTTTCAAAAAATTGCATAGCAAAAAGAAATGTCATTTCTGTCCATACTGATCTAGAGATTCAGTACAACAGACATTTTGTGGAACTTGTCAAGCTGACTGTAAAATTTATAAGAAAGAGAAAAAGGCCAAGAATACCTGAAGCTCTTGAAGAAGAAGCAGGCAGAGGGTTTTGGCTTACCCGATACCTGGAATTATTTAATTCCGTATATTATTTATACAGAGGTATACAGATAAACTAAAGAATGAAACAAAGAGCTTAGAAGCAGAATTTATACACACACACACACACACTTATGACAGCTGCGTGGATGGGTAGATTGATAAAGAACAGTTTTTAATAAATTGTTCTGGGGAAATTGGTGATCCATATTTTTAAAAATTATAATAGTTCTTCCTCTATCTCATACCATGCAAAAATTTTATTCAAGGTAGATTCAAGACTTAACTGGAAAATGCAAAACTGTAAAACTTTTACAAGACTATATAGGAAAATATATAAATTTTTTGACTTCAGGATAGAGAAGGATTTCTTAAACAAGATGCAAAAAAAAAAACATAAACCATAAAAGAAAAGATTGATAAAGTCAAATGATAATAAAATTAGAAACTTCTGTTCCTCGAAAGATAAAATAAAGAATCCCAAAAACTTGGGGAAGATAATACTTCCCATGTAACTAACAAAGGATTAGTATCTAGATAATGTAAGTAACATCTATAAATCACTAAGAAAAGACAAATAATAGAGGAGGAAAATGTATAATGTCCTGAACAGGCACTTCATAGAAGATGAACACCAAATGGCCATAATATCTATGAAAAGATGTTCAACCACATTAGTAACTAGGAAAATATGAAATAAACCGAATGAGAGACCATTTTATACCTACCAAAAAAATTAAAGATAGCCAAAAAAATTAAAGTCTGATAATACCAAATGCTGGTAAGTATGTGAAACAACCATAAATTGAGTATCTGCTGGTGGCAGTGTAAATTGGCACAAGCTCTTTGAAAACCATTTGGCATTACCTAGTAAAGCTGAAAATATGCCTACCCTATGGCCCAGCAGGATATCTGAGAGAAATTCTGTTCTTTATAAGAATCTTATACAGGAGTATTCATAGCAACCCTGTTGTGTAATAGCAAAACCTTGAAACAACCAAAAACTGGTAATAATCACCAGTAGAACAGACAAATGAATTGCAGTATATTCCTATCATGAATCTGTGCAGGAGGGGAAATGAATAAACTGCGCTGAAATGTCACCACAGGGGTGAATCGCCAGAACACGGCATTGAGAGGATAAAGCAAATTACAGATGACTACAGATGACTCTGTGTATATAGAGTTTAAAAAAAAACTAGTAGGTTATTTAGAGATACAAACAAAACATTGAGGTTATGAATGGGAATGACAAAGTTAAATACTTGAGGGGGAGTATCAGGGAGCAGAAATAGGGAAGAACATAGTGGGGCCTTCATAAGTATAAACAGCAGTGGGGGTGGTATGACAAATGAAATGGGTGTTTGTTTTACTGTTTTTTTTCTTAATACACTGCAACTATTTTATAAATACTCTCGATTTCAGTAGATAATAAACATAGAAAAGACCACATATACAAAGTTATTGAGAGATCTTATCCCTAATATACAAGCAGCTTCAAAGAATTTTTTTTAAGTCAAAAATAGGGTAAGGAAATGAACACAATTCATTGAAAAGAAAATCTACATTGCATATAAAATATGGAAAGATAATCAGCCTCATTAACGATCAGAGAAATGATCATTTAAATTAGATACTCATCAAATTACCAAAACTTTTAAAGAATTCCACCAACCAATGCCAGCTGTGATGTGGGACACATCCCTACAATGTAGATATGATTGTACATCACGACATTTTAGAAAAGTCCGTGCTCATTTATGTCTACCAGGTAAAAAATTATAATCTTTCTACAAATATATGGTGAACATAGAACTACAGCTGTTTGTGGGACTCTTGCTTTTTTGGAGCTCTTGGTAAGCATCATAGCTTTATTTCCGATATCTCCCTTGGTATCCTTTCCTGGGCCTGTTGATTGCTAGAATTATCTTC